ACTCTATCAATAATTCTGAAACAGTAATTATTTGTAATAACTGTGGCCAAACTTTGCATTCCTATTAACAGTGACAGCCTGATTACCTTCTGTCTCGTGATTTACACTGTTTTAAAAACTAAGCAAAATGGAAGTACTATACTGCAGATGGAGCAGAAATTCTGGTTTGAGCTATCCCACAAGACTACACTTTAGCTGCATAAATCTTGGCATAGTTTGTAGGAGCTATGCTTTCCTGGCAGTGTTTCATGTCAATGATCAGTATTTGGAAATGTGCTTAGTTAGACTGAACTACCACAACAGCAGGACAGTCAGATCCTTTCAGATCTGTCACCACACAATGGTGATATCAGAGATACTTCACTGGGGGGGGAAGGGGGAGGGAAGGGGGAAAAAAGAAAAGAAGGAACATCTATTCAAGCTTTGGACAAAATAAGTACTTCTAGCTCTTAACATTTTGTTCCACTTCCATAATGTATGACCTACATACCTTACTAGAAAAAATATTTTTAAAAGGTACTTTACTTCCTCCAGAGCTTTACTGAGAAAGTCTGACTACCCAGAAACTCACAGAACTAGGCCATGGAACTACATTTGCTCTTGAATGAGAATTTGACCACCAATTTACAGGTAAGAAAATAACTATTGTTAATTGTGTAAGCACTTAAAAATATTTACAGAACAGTGCTTTGTTAAATTGCAGCACAGGATCATCTGCAGCAAATAATTTCATCATTGAGATGTATCACTGAAACTTTAGAATTCTGTTATCACATACTCACAGAATATTTGAGAGGAAAGAAAGGGGGAAATGTTGTATTTCAGAGCAGAATTTTCCCTCCTGCCCACCTACAATTGCATTCCTGCACAGAATAAATCAGAACAATGTGTTTGCGATTAATGAATGATAAAAAATTATAAGCTCACCAGAATAAGAATGGATTGAGATCATCGATGTAAAGCTTGGTGCTGCATGGAGGGTAGATTGATAATAATTGCTTCCTAAATAAAGACACCGTATTTTATTTTGATCTTTTTACCTCCTGTTCTGTTCACAGTAATACAAGCTTTATGTAACATCCAATAACATCTTTGACCAACTGAAGTTATTTTGTTAATTTTTTGCCTACTGTTTTTAATTTTCATTGTCATCTTGGTAGAAATTGCACAGTGCTGAGGAGGACTTACATGAAGTAAGAGACAAAATTTCCATTAACTCCTTTGAAGCCAGATTTTTACCAACTTGGCCTTGCATTCACTGACAGTCTGGCACTGAAACACCCCTCTTATCCCTTTGATGCCCATGTTCTTCTTCCATTAGCATAATTAATGCAAATGGATGTGACATCAAGATCTAAAAGGTAAGACACAATTTAGCAGCAAAATTCTAGGGAGTTTAATGTAACTCTATTTCCCACATAGCTGTAGAGCAATATAGGGACATGATCCAACGTCCTTTGGAAATAAAGGAAAATCTCCAGTAAATTCCAGGACATTGGACCATGCCCTGTAAAATTATTAATATTATTAGTTTTAGGTATCTGTGTGGAGACAGAGTAGAGAAAGAAAAGCAGAGTGCTAATATCTGTACTAATGAATGAATAAGCACAAGCCCACAGCACTGTCAGGTCATCACAACCTCCATGCAGTTTCTGTAGAAAGGTGCAGGTCAGTTTTCAGTGCCTTGGTGCAAAAGGAAGCATATGGCCCCAGGAACAGACAGAAAAACATTCATGACACTTTAAGTGCAGTTAATTATCTGTAGGTGAATCATACTGCTATCGGCATTGTCTTGCTGCATTTGAAACTGAAACAGTCATAGCAGCAGTGACTTCTTTCAGCATCACTGCAGTTCAGTTACCTGACTACAAATAGGAGAAGAGAAGCACAGAGCACTTCCTCCCCACTGGGGCTGCCTTTCCATCATAGCCAAGGGGAGGCAGCTCTGGGCCAGCATACTGTGCAGCCACTCTGTTGGTATGCAGCTCCTTCAGGTTTCATCCATTCACATTTTGTTTTTCCACCTCCTACCTTTTCCCTTTAAATACATTCAGCATTCACAAAAAGAAAGGGAGTATTATATATGTGGAAAGATTTCACAAGGTAGGTAGCACCATTCTCACTTTACAGATGGTACAACTGAAGAAAATGAATGTGTGCTCACTGCACATATCTTCAAGGAAGCAAGGGAAATAATGTGATTTCCTATGACCTTTGTGGGGTTCATATTTATCACCAGAGCATGTGAGAGAACAAAACCTGCTGCTCCTAAGCAATGCTATTTACTTTTCCAGGAGAAGAGGCAGGAAGCAAGAAGGCTTGAGGAAGAACTATGCAACTTCCAGTCACCAAGAAGAACTGGTAGGACTAAAGCAGAGATTATTTCTTTCTTAAGTGTCACGAAGGGAAGAGAAGATCTTGTAACTGAAAATCTGAGCACTTTTTCTATTATTCACTATTGTCTATGGAGATCCACTTGCCTGAACATGATCCTTGCCTAAACATGATCCATGTTTGCTCATGTTTAGCAGCAAGATAGCCAGTACTAAGAGGGCAACCTGTATCTTTACCATTCTTCCTACCTCTTTTCACACTTTTTCTCTCATAACTTAAATAGCAAGTCTAACAGTGAAAATGGTAAATCTGGTTATGAAATCATCCACTATGCATGGGTATAACTGTCCAACAGACAGCCCTTAGCCTTGACACAGAAGAATACATGGTAAATTTATGGACCTTTTAGAGCAATGACAAATTTTCTACTACAAAAGTTACCAAAGCAAGGAAACAAAATCCTATTATTATGAGAAAATGATTAATCTGGACACAAGCATGAATATGGTATTGAAGTCCATTTGCCATAGCAGACAACACATAATGGTGTAGCCCATGACTGCAGCCAAGTGCTGTTGTCTGCTGGGGCAACCCAGGTAGATACTGCAACATGTGCCATGTGTCTGGGCAACAACACCTAGCAATGAAAATATCAAGGGCTGTATCTGTTGCCTCTGAGATCTGCAGTATTAGCAGCTTTTTAATACTGTTGGATACCTTAGACACGCTCTTGAGTTCTGGGCTGGAGATACATCCAAAATGTCCTCCAATTAATGCCTTGGCCAGTTTTGTAGTATTTATACTCAGCAGGCTAACTAAATTCCAGGAAAGGAAAAGTATCCGCAATTAAGGATTTTTTTCAATTGACTTAGACCACATTTTTTCTTTATGATAAATTGTCATTGAAAGCAATGGGGTTATTTTTTTTTGAATAACGATTATTAGGAAGAAAGGAAAAAGCCAGCTTTCATTATCCACTCATGGAAAGGATAAGTTTGGGTAAGACAGACTCAAGAATACTCTAAACATCTCTCATCATCCACTCTCAAGAAAGATTAATTTGGCCAGAAGGACCAGAGAAATCCTTTAAACATGACACGGAAGATGGAGAGCTTTACTACAGAAAGACGGAAGAAGAGACTCTGAGCTCAATTCTGACAGCATGGAAGCCAAGGAGGATTTGCGCCTTTTCCTGCAAGACCTGATCAGAATTTCACCCATTCAGCCTCACAAAAACATACCAGGATGTTTCACAAAACTGACTTCAAAGCATTTATCTGGAATGTTGGAAATCCAAATTTTGTTTTTTCCACCTCTGCTGCACCCTGGAAGATGTGTCAGTCACCTCCTCAGAGTTGAGTTTTACGAGGTAGCAATGCTGATTTTCTCCTGTGGAGCTAGCTTCCATACTACTGTAGAATGAGATGTTTTCAGCTAGTATGTATAGAAGAAATCCAGTAACAGGCAATCTTCAGCTTTTTATGGATTATGCATTAATTATACCGTGGCATAAGAGCTATCAGAGTTAGCTCTGTAACCACTCGGTGTTCCTTAGCTCAAGCACACTTGAAGGAAATACATCCATTCTGTCTGCAAATGTGATTTGAAGAGCAGTTCAGTCACTTCTGTAACATGTGCAATCCAAACTTATGAACCATCAGGCAGAAATTAGTTTCCCAAGTAACCTGATATGGCAGCTCTGTTGTCTGCTTCTAGAAATGGAATTGCTAGGCTGTAAAAATTAAAACTGCACAATGCAAGACTATCAGTTACGTCTGTACTGGTAAGTTGTAGAATGTCAATGCTAAGCAGACCTTCATCATTTAAATACTGTTAGAATGACCTTGGTATACCTTTTACAGAAGCCAGTTAGCACTCCTCCAAGCCACGATCTTGACACAGGCTAAGAGCAGTCAGTTAGCATGCACCAAAAAGTGTTTTGCAGGCTCATGCACCAAGTAGTGTTTTGCAGGCTAAGAGGATTTAATTTTGTCAGTGTAGGCTGATCAAACCAGAAAAAGCCTTGGCACTGTACACAACACATTAACTCCAGCTCAGTTTTTATTTTGCCAGACATTAGATTACTGCATGCAGCCACTGCTTCTCCAGCATGCTCTAAAATAGGGTTTATTAGCACAAGAGCAGTGCTGAACGTGCCACTGGACCTTTCTTTCTGAAGTCTTGTGCCCAAAGTCCTTAGGAACAATCTGTTGGCTCTCAACAGACACACCAAATTTGGCAGGGTCTACACTGGGCCAAAGCTAACGAGACCAGTTGTGAACAAGCTGTTTCCATACAGAACTCTCTGCCCTGCTCTCCTCAGCATCTGTGCCAAAAGCATGTCTTATTAGCTCATTCACAGTGCAGGATCCGATCCCTGTGTGTGCTGGTACTAGTCTTAGAAGCTTCCTGCTGCCCAGGGTACCAGTGATTGCCTTGAAATACCTTAGTGATTCTGGAGTCAGCCCTGGTTCACTAGTTTCAGTGCTGAAACATATTTAGCAGCAGTTCTGAACAGATGATGCTTTTGACCTGGTAAATCAAACAGATTAACATAAAATATGAATAGACTTTGAGTGCTTACATAGATGTGTATTTGTATATACATATATATGAAGATTTACAGCTCATATGTATAAAATTAAATATTAGTTGTACGATAAAATAATAAAAATCCTTTTAAGTTATAAAAAGAACTGAACAACTTAAATGCCTACCTCATACAGAACAAAAACATTTTGTGACTTCCAGCATAAATTTGACAGCAGAAATGAAATTGCACAATAGAATTTCAGACCACAATCTGGTCTGGTATTTCATTCTCCAGAATTCTAACGAATACAGTATCTATATTACAATCCTCTTCACTTATGTAATTCTTACCAGTCTTTTTTGCAGTCAGAGGAACACTATTCTGGTATGTGCTTGATATAGTTAGGCCGATTCCAATGTATTTATACTATCACTATGTTATTGATGCACCACAAGTGAAGTACAGAAACATACCGCATGTTTATCTACAGTAATAACATGTCGTTAAAAAAACGGAGCACTGCAATTTCTAAATAATTTTGTTGTTATTGTTAAAGAGGGGTGGGTAAAAAAAGCCACAGAAAGCAATTCCCCCAAGATCCAACACCCTGTTTGATAAGCATCACACAAACACCCCTGCAGAACAGTCACACATCTTGTCTGAACCCCAGTTAGTGCTCATTTTCATGACGTATTGTGTAAGTATTCCTGGTGTTTATGATGATCTTGTCCTCTGCTTCCTCAGAACAGAACAATCATTAAAAAAGAAAAAAGAAACTTTGCTCCTTGGAAGACAGTAGGGACTACGGTTTATGATGAATCCATTTAGCTGAGCAGCATTATCCTTGAAGAGGAAAACAGTTCTGTAACTCAGTCTATTTGGTTGCATTTTTTTGTTTCCCTTGGGTTTTGAAAGTCATTTGCTGCAACACACAGAGACAGGAGAAACACAGTTAACTCAGCCACTCTTCATGGTACTCTGCTTCTGCTTGGTGTCTCTGTCATATACTCTATTTACTTCTTGGGTTCAAAGTTTTCCTCTCTTTAATTTTCATTTACTTATTTATCTTTGAATCATGCATCACTTGGCTCACTCCTTGCACCTCCACAGCTTTTGTTGTTTTCAGTCTTTAATGATGATCTTTTAGTTAAGAGCTCACCAAAGTGTAGATCATGCTGAGTGAAAAGAAAGACACAATATGAAAGTATCCTTTTGAAACATAAAGAGCACTTTGATTTTTATAACCCTTTACTGTCTGTTCCTCAAGGTCTGACTGTAATGGCCAATGCCTTCCTTTGCATTCTCTCTGTCTCTCTAAAGTATCTTAATTATGGTGGATTCAAGATGGGTATCAAAAAGAACTCAAGAAATAGCAAATTCATTAGTGATATCCTACTGTACCACAAGCTGTGTTTGAGCTTATTAAAATGTGCTCTGATGTTTGAATTTGAACAGTGAAGAAACAAAACCATTTAGCTTTCAGACATTTGATATTTACAACATCAACCAGCAACTCTCAGTGTGGCAGGCAAGGTTTACCACGAAACTACATGTTTTCTTTCCTTCGGAGAAAAGTCCATATAGTAGAAGAAATAAAATGCAGACAACCAGCTAGCACAAATCCATACATATTAAGTACAACACTAAAAAATGAGGAAATTGCAGTATATTACCACAGCCCCATTTTACTGCAATTCTAGCTCTTGCAATACCCAGGAACGCAAAGCAAAAGTGGACACAGTACTGTTTTATTAAGGACCAGGCAGCAGACCTTGGCTTATGGCCACATTTTAGAATGAAGGAAAGCAGGGCTCAGCACAACAGTTTAGTTCCAGCAGAAATACTCAGACAAATGCTTAATATTCTACATGTAATGAAGCATCCGCAGATTTAAGCACACGCTGCCGATGCTTCCCTGAATCAAGATCAGAAGCAGTTTTGTAAGGCTAAGGAAGCATGCACATTTGTTCCAGCCATTCCTAAATGCAATTTCACATGTTAAATGAAAAGCAGCTACTATTTCCTCTATATAAAATTACCAGACTTACCAGTAAAGATAGTAGAAGAAAGAAAGGAGATAGAAAGCTAGCTTACACCAGGCCTCTTTTTGACAGTAACTCAAGGTATCAGCATTCATGACTGCAGGTGGATCGTAAGCGAGTTCTGAACTATCTGCTGGGCAACGAAAATACCTGAAAGAGAAGGAGAACTCAAGAACAACTGTAACATGCTGTATTAGATATGTGCTGACACATACTGTCCTGACCATCACCTCAAAAGAAAACAGTCTTTCATCATATAGGAGAAATTTACCTCTCTTTATCAAGCCTCACTTTCTGGACATGGTCAAGTCAGAATGCTAGTCTAGATATATTGCAGAACCAAGCAATTCATGGATGTGAAATTTCTGTGCTCTGTTAAATTGTTAGACTGCAACATTCCCCCTGCCTATCCAGTTCTTTCTGGCTTACTCGCTAATAACTTGTATATTGTGTGTTACAATACGTGGTCTGTGATCTCAGCATGGAAGAAGAATTACTGGGCTTTAACTGCATCCACACAACTAATTTCAGATATGATGAGAGGTGACAGTCTCAACCAGTTGACAGCTCAGCTTCCTCTGCTCTGAAAAGGAAAAATTCAATATGGTGTAACAAAAGAGTTGGCTGACTAGTGTTTTCTACACATAGCACTGCTCAGAAATTCATTATCTAAATGATTTTTATCAGAAAATATTTTTCTTACGTGGGAGAAATTTCTTATTATTTTCACCAGTGACTGGATATTTGAAAAAAACTATGATGAAAGATGTTTTTGGCAAAGGAACCTTAATCTCAGTTACTTTGCAGCTTCACTGGAATGATAACATGCAATTATCTTCCCCATGGTTTTATGCAGAAATTTTTACAATGAACCCAAGAGCAACAAAAGACATGAGTAATTATGACAATAACTACGGAGAATCACAGAAACATATCTTAAGTTTGGCATCATTATTTCAAGTATGACCATTTCCACTTTGTATTTTTTTCTACTTTTCACACTTGAGTCGTTATCCTTTGAAAGACAGCATCGTAAAACACCATGATCTTTATTATACCCAACAAAAGAGCGCTCATAACTTCATCTCATTAAACTTTCTGAGAACTATGCTGTCACTCTAACTTCTGGATAATATAAATCTACCACGAGATGCTGCATTATTACCAAGTTTCACAGAAAATAGAGTTTAAAAGCTACTATTTTTTAATTTGTAGCTGAGGCACTAGCAGTGCCTTCTTTACAGAGTTGTTCTTCAAGCTACTTCACAACAGAAGCTCCCTGCTACCATATCTATCTCTGTAACACAGAAAGAACCTGACAAAAATTGCCTATGCTTTTCCAAATACAGTGGGAATGCAAAACTAGTGAAAGACTGCAGACTGACAGACAGAAAAATGAATGCCTCCTGCCTATCTTCAGAGGTGCCAGATCCTCTACTAGAATTCAGTGGAAGCTGTATTGCCAGCAGCTTCAGTCCAGAAAACATTAAAGCTGCTCCACAGCAGCTCCCACACAGTCTACTAAGGAAGACCTTGGGTGAGCACAAACATGTAGCAGAGACCCAAAGCTGAAGACAGCTGGAGAATCCAGCTGCTTGGGGAGATGAGGGAGTCACCATCCAAGGAGGTGTTTGAGAACCATGGCGATGTGGCACTGAGGGATGTGATATGTGGCAAGGTGGGGGTGGGTTGGTGGTTGGACACAATAGTCTTAGTGGTCTTTTCCAACCTTAATGATTCTGTGATATTAACTCCCTGACAGCTCCCAGCCTGTACAGCTCTTAGTGCTCCATCTTCAGACTGCAGGCCACTTCAAGTTCTCATGTGTGAATGATTCCATCTCGCACTTGCAATATTCAAAGTGGTTATTTAAATGTGGCTACCTAGATTAGGCTATTTGAAGCCACTTTTATGTATTATAGGTTTTCTTTCCCCATCCTAAACATTATAATATACTTTTTCTCTCCAAACTTGTGTCTTAGCTGTCTTTAGGCCTTTTTCCTGTTGCTGAGCTTCATGCTTCATACAATCTGCATGGCTGATAAGTTGGCACATATGGCTAACAAGCAGTCAGAATATAAAAGATGGGCTTACCTCCAGAAGTGATAAAAAAGCAGAGGAACATTTAAGCCCAGTGTGAGCCATTCCTGAGCACACAAAAACATTATGCAGAAAAGGCTATGGATGGAGTACTCTGGCAACACCAGCTGAAAGGAACAGAAATAACAGATCAGTAAAATATCCCTGTGACTTCCATCACTGATTTTGCAGAAGGCAAACCTGCATCAATCCCCAGACATACCTCAAGAGAGGGACAGCAAAGCAGAGGGCAATGAGCACAAGGCATGGAGCCATCCTGGTTCTGATCCTGGCTGTACACTGTGGGCTTTTTTATAAGTTACATTCATCCTAAAGGTATCAAATCCATTACTAAGTTAGCTTTTTGAGCTAAAACCCACTGAAAAAGAAAAGTTACACCCCTGGTAAATCCATGGCTTCTCACACTGCTTACTGCAGACCAATTGCAGATCCTTTCTATTAAAAGAGAGAGTGAGTGGGCAGCTGGCAGAAAGTTTATGTGATGTTGATTCAGACTGATTACTTCTAAAGGCTCTTTTTCACCCCTCTTTCTTAGCTGGTCTTCGCTTGTTTTCTTATGCCTTTTCTCAGAAATTCAATTCTTATCTTTATTCAAGCAATAAAAGAATTTTATTCCAGTATCTTCTATTCCTCAAAGCCAGACAATCCCACACACAGTTCATATGTATCTCTTGCTGTGTCTCCAAATCACATCAAAATTAACTCCCCTCCCCTCCTTCCCCCCAAAAACCAACAAAAAAACATTTGAGGGACTTCTTTTGATGTCAGTTCATCTTCATCAGTCAAATAGTTCAAGTGAGTCTTGTTTCTGCAAACAGTGAGAAGCCCACTACAGCTACTCCCAACTTCTACCTACTCCTATACAGTTGTGCTGCAACAAATTCCATAGTTTAAGGACTTCTTCCACTTCACAAGGAACGTATTTTTTCACTTTCATGTCTCTAACTCTATGCAGTCAGTCTAAGCATCCTCAAAAGCTTATCTTACGTGGATGACAACTCATAGTACAATTGCATAGCACAGATTCCAGATGGCAGTTATTTATCACTGCTGGATTTTTTTTTTTCTTTTCATTTTTAGAATGTGATTTAGAACATGACTATAACCTTTACCAAGAAAATGATTCATCCTCGCCATAAATTACAGACAAGGAAGGTCTTAATGATGAATGGCTTCCGACTAAGCATCACAGCACTTTCAAGTATATTACATTCATTATCACATATTTGATTTCAGCTTCTAACACAGTTCACAAAATGAGCAAAACCACAATGCTGTTGCTTGATCAGTGGGCTGGCTGGTAATAGCTGAGAAGGAAACCCAAGGTGCAAATTTATAAAGGAGATTTAAAAAAAAAAAACCAATCATCTGTGAAACTAGAAAGGAAACACAGGAAGCAGTAGAGAACAGATGCTCCAGTCAGTTTCTAGTGTATACTAGATCTACCTCTGCTTTTAATAGAATAACAGATGGGTCACCTTATCCCTTCATTTTTTCTTGGAATAATATTTTTGCATCGGCATAAATAAATACAAGATCAATTCTGATCACAGTTTCCAAAGAGAATTCGTGGAAAGAAGCAAACAAACACCAGTCTGTAAACCAGTTGCAGTTAACATTCAAATGATTTAGCCAAGCGACTAAATCTAAAAGTAAATGAGGGAAGTAAAAGCATAAGGGAGTAACAGCAAGGTTTGTGAGGAAAAGTAAACTAGAAAAACAGAATGCAACACTGCCTCTGTTCCTGCTGGAATAGTCACCTTGCAGTCCTCTGAAACCAATGGAGACTCCAATGCACTTCAGCAAATACAGAATTTGGTTCCTGGAGGGAAGAAAGCCAGTTCAGCAAGCAGGAACTGTCAATCCTTGTCATTGCTGCCAAGCTAGTCCATTGCAATGGTAACTTCTGATAGATGAGTGTTGTGCTATAGGAGTTGTGCTAGGATCTTTAATTCTGGGACAGTGTATAAGGCTGTCAGATGGCAATCATTTTAGGATATAAACAGTATGCTTCTATTTTGAACCAGGAACACTCTGATTCAGATAATGAACTCTGCTTTCTGACACAGCTCAAGATGAAGTCTGGGGACGGTTACAGAACACAGAGCTGGAGAAGCTGGCAAAGAAGCACAGCTCTTGAGAGCTGAAACATGGTCACTTGGAATTCCAAACTAACGAACAGCATTGCAAATATACTATTAGAAATTCTGTTGGCTGATGTTTACCCATGGAAAACCACAAAAAAGCCTGAAAAGTAAACTGAAGTTTTTAGATCAATGTGATGCTAGTCAGAAACATCTCTTGCTATAATGTAAGCATAGGAAAGAAACTACTATACCTTTGTATGCATGCTCTGATATGTACATTTAATATATGTATCACCAAAAAATTCAAAATCTTTTTTTCACAAACCATTTGCATTTCAAATGTAAAATCTTTGCTAGATATCAAATCATTATCATCCCATAATAAATATTCAGTACACTCTCATACAAAGTAGTATACACATGCATACAGGTAGATAGTGTCATCCTTACAGTTCCAAAGCAAATAAGGCAGCCTTTGCTGTGTGTAGACAGCAAGTTTGGCTGAACTGAAGCATGGGAAAACATGCACTGAAGCTAACCAAGAACCTGACAGCAGCTTTTCTGCACTTATTGGACTACTTATTGGATTAATCAGTTTTCTCTTCCCTAATTGTGTTCTGTTATTCTTTTACAAACAACAATCCCATCTTTTCCTGTCAGTAGTCTTCGTCCTTTTTGTGCTTATTACACATTACTACCTTCTTCTCAAATGTAATTTTGCTCTTCCAGAACATTCTATTGTTTTTAAATGGAATGACTCTCACAGCTGGGCTCACCAGTGAGTATGCACATGAAATACCTCTCTGAAACCCAAACTGGGAAGATAGAACAGACTGAATAGTGACCTCCCTTCATCAGTGCTATTAAATTCTCTTACTTAGAAAAAGTAATGTAACAAGTGAATCAAACTGTTTTCCAGTCACTATTAAGTCACTATAACGCCAAGAACTCATGCCTCTGTCAAATATCTTGTTTATGTCCAATACTCCTGAGTCCTAGACAGTAATAGTAATTCCTACAAAATCACTGTTTTTCTCCCCCAAGAAGTCTCCTTGCACAAACCCAGACCCCTTCCTTTGACCACGAATGTGCCACTTTACCCACAGGTAGGCAATCACCAGACACAGCAGTGCTACATTGGCACAGCAGTTAACGTTGCTGCTCCTGCTGCTGGCAAAGGATGGCTGCAGCTTGTTTCTAAGGTGCTCACTTTGCTGCTTTTTCCATAATAGCCTTACTAAAGCTGACACACAGGGAAAGAGGGGAAGGAGACATACCCACGGTGTTCAGGACACAAGAGTTATTTTAATTACACTTTGAAGTCCATCCTAGTAGAGCCTGCCAGAGCTAACCCAGCTTACTGAGGAGTATCAGCTATTGAATTTAAGACATTATGAGCTCCTTTGGAGCTGATTATTTAGCATCTCCGAAATCCTGCTAATTGAACAACGAAAAAATCAGAGGTGTAGCATAAGGAAATGAAAAAGCGAAAGGACAAGCACACAGAAAAAACTGCAGTAGCATTTCAATTTATTCAAAGTCATGTAATTCAAACTGCTACAAGCACTCAGCAGTTTGCTATGTTGCATTTAACTAGCTGAAAAGAAAATGGCTGGAAAATAAATTTCTGATCATATAAAGAACACCTGCAGTTGAACCTAACAAATTCACATCCATATCTTCACATTTTATCAGGGGACGGCAGTGTTGCATGCACACAATGCTCAATGTTACAGATCAAATGCAGAGCACAAATTAAAAAGGATTTAACACCTGTGCTTTCAGCTCTCCCCTTTTCTGGACAGCAACGACATGAAGCAGGGCAAAACATACATGTCTGGAAAGGAAACGTCCTTAATTTTAATGCTCTACTGGAATTTGTTTAAACAGTATCAAGAGAATATGAGAGAATTCACTCCACAGCACAAGCAGCAGACAGGGAGACAGTAACACAAAGAACCTAATTATCATACTCACAAAGCACTCCACAGCCATTTGCAACACAATACAGAAAATCAGGTATACTAACACTGGATCTACCCTCTCTTTCCATTTCGGGGACTGAACACACCTCTATTTAGGCCCATCATTTTAATACTCACTGTCTCATTTTTATCTTCTGTATCATAGAGGTAATTATATTTTAAGTCTAAGATTCTAACGGAGCCAGTTTATGACTGGCATATTTAAACTTCGTCGTATTACAAATAACTTCAACAACAGTGACAGAGGAAGATCACGTCTTCATGGATCATTTATCAAGAATATCAATAAGATTTCTGTTCTGCAGAGCCTACAAGAGGTCATAAAATAATAATATTAATAAAAAGCTTCTCCACTGAGCACAGCCTGCAGGGCATCAGCACTGTTCAAAAAGCACCTCATCCTTGGGTGGTACCTCATTAAGGCAGCAGTGCTGTGATCTTAGAAGTGATGATATCTTCACAACCTTTTTTATTTATTTATTTTCTAAATGTTAATTCAGAACCAGTAACAGAAGCTGAGTAGTTTGCATCCCTGGAGCACAAACAACTAATTTTCCTCCACACTGATCCGGAATAGGGTAACAAATGCCCTTTTGCCCTACCTCTCGTGTTTCAGACATAACCAGAGATGAGCAGAACTGGTACAGGTGATCCCTGTCCTGCTATTCTAACAGGTTTTTGGAAACGTCAGCATTTGAATGCAAGGTAGGACATTTAACTCCCACCAGAAACCATTCCCATTCGTATAACGGATACGATGTGAAATAATTCCACTCTGTTTTTAGGGATTGTGTTGTTTTTTGTAATAACATAGAGGCTGTGTAGGATCCAATCCTGACTTAAATCCACTATGAAAATTCTGCTAAACATAACAGCAACATTTGATTTAACCCCAGTTCCTTTAGTTTCATTAAAATGCAAATATATATTTTATTGCATACCAAATTAAAGCAAATACAGTCCATTAGCAAGTCAAATTTTGCCAATATCTTCAACACAGCTCTGAGGAGCAGATGCATAAATTACATTACCCCAAGCAACTCAGAATTCTCATCTCAGGAGTGCATTAGAGACAACAATTACTCATATATATATTTTTTGCTGCATCTCCAGACTTATTCACTGCTTCTTGCAGTGTTGTGAGAACAAGGCCATATCCTCCAGAACAGTACTGGAGGGAAGCTGAACTGTAATGCAAAAGGTTGTCTTACAGGGTGATACTTCACCATTTTGATTACTGAATAAATATTTAAAAGATCACATTAAACAGCAAAATACAGTTGGTTAAACTGATATAGATTTATATGTAAATATTTTCATGAGTAATAGTACTACTTATAATAAACACATATATCTCTCTGCTCTCCATTTCCATCAGACATTGTACTGGCAAATCTTACTTCCTCCCCAGAGTTAAAAATGGGGTAAAGACCAAACTGTGACTGAGTCACAAGCTTGAACATTTTAGGTTTGCAATAATTTCACAGCTTTTCTTATCTTTCACTGCTGCTTCAAACACCTGTGCAGACACAGCAAGATACAGCTTTCCATGAAGCAAACAGACGTCCTTAAGTAACAATTCCTAAAAATAACCATTATTATGCTCTAACTTTTAAAAATGCTGAACTCAGGAACTTGTGAATTTGACTAAAAATAGCACTGGCACAATGCACATAATAAAAGAATGTGACAACACATAAAACAAATGAATGTTAGCAGTGAGTGGATTGCCTGCCAGAAATACTATACTTCCTCTAAGTTCTTAAGTGCTATACATTCCCCTTTTCCAATTATCACTCTCTAATCTAGTCCTTCAAGATGCCATAATGAGCACATTAACCAAGGCTGCAGCAAATAAGTTTAGTTTATTCATCAGCCTACCTGAGAGTAACTACAAGTGTGAGCACAGAGTTTATATAAGCACATCAATCCCTTACTTGGAAATGAAGATAATCAGATAACACAACTACTGGAAAGGGAATTATATACAAGAAAATGACAAAAGGGATTGTGGTCAGTATTTCTGTTGCAAAAGCAATTCCTTTTGAATAATTATGAAACTGAGATATTCACAATAAAATAAAAAGTATGAGGAGATGCCCTGTCTCTAGTCAAGCAATATTTATGACATTGTCTTTGTATAAAGTAACAACACTGCCAGCTGTCTGGTCCCAATTCTATCATCATTTTTGCAAAATAGCTACTGTAGTCTCAATAACAGATCCGGCATTTAAACTTCTAAAGAAAGCAGGATTACTGAACTCTTCCATATTCATGTATCAGGTCAGTTAATAGAAGGTTTAGACCTTAATAAAACTAGAGATGGAATGGAGATAGGTCAAAAGGCATCCTTGCTTCTTGGAAACATGAACCACTCACCTCCCTCTATGACAATCCTCTCTCAGTAGTGTCCAAACCCAAAGGGAAGAGAAGGATGATTTTCTGATGTGTAAAATATTATTAGCACAAATGAAGTGCTACAAAGGCACCTGTTGAATTGTCTAATTAAAACCTGTATTTCTCCCCCTTGTTTTATTCTGTTTGACCTTTATGGTCTCTTTTGAATTTCACCAAGAACTCCCACAGAAATTCATATAAATTTGGCTATAATTGCCAACAATACGATACAGAGTTTTTATCCAAATGGTGCTTAAATTAGGAGGACTTCAAATCCAAAATTACGTCCAGGGCCTATTCTACACAGCTTTATGTTTGAGTAGCAACAATATTCTCATCTCAGAACAATAAAC